GCCTTCTCCCAGAATGTTTGGGTTCTGCTCCCTGTTCTACCCAGCATTATTTGCCTGGAAGTTTGTAGCTCATAAGTTCTCCACAAATCTGCTTTCTCCTTTCATCCCTTACCCCTTTACCCCCTCTCTTCTCTCTCGTTTAGTAGTTTGCATTCTTCCATGCTTCATTAGTTCCAGCCTCAGTTCCACCTTATACACTGGTTCCTTGTCCCAGTTTGCTCCTGCTCTGCCTGTGGAAGGTACCTCCATTGTTTCCTCTGTGTTCAAATGAGCAGCTTCCTTTTCCTTGCACCCAGAGGGAATTACTGAGGAAACATCCCCACACTTCCATCTTGCTTAGCTCTTGGCTGAAGTACGCCAAGACAGGCAAGAAGGTTGTAAGGATGCCAGCTGGTATGTTTGATAGTGTTGATTTCAGACATATCTTCTCCCTTCTTGACCAGAGCCTTAAGAACAGCAGGTAAACGGGGGAAAAAAATTGCAACTGGGGTACTTTTATTCTTTGTACTTTGTTTAAAGTATACTCTACACCAACTTCACTTTTTATTAACTTTTTAAAAATATTTGAGCTGACTGTCCTTTCAAGTCTTGCAGATTTAACTCTGTAGGGCTAGAGTCTGATATGCTCAAGTGGAAACAGTCCTAATTCTTGTGGTTGGCAAACACAGCTCTCCTGGAAGAGGAGTGAAGTTGTAAGATAAACATTGTTTTTGCAGTCTGCAGCTGCTTTTGACTCTGAAGTGAATTGGTAATATGTTTTCTTTGCTGTAAGTTTGGAGCAGGAAAGAGCACTTGATAAGCAGAAGTTGGTAAGTTTAAGTAGGGTACTTGTTAGGTACTGGAAGCAAGCAGTTGTAATTTACCCGCTTCTTTCTGCAAACCTCTCACAACTGCACACAGAAACGTAACACTCTTGGGAGACAGGGCCAGTGCAGGACTGTACTTATTCTGACTGCATTTTGAAGTGCTTTGAGGTATCAGAAGACTTCTGTGCAGTCATTTGTGTGTGTGCTCTGTTCCAACTATTGTTTTCCCCTTTTTTTTTTTCCTCCTCTCTTCTGATGGATAAATAAAAGGTGTGGTTCAGTTTGCATGACAGTTCAGGGGTCTATGAGTATTTTTTCAGGTGTCTTCTAGTGATGGTACTTCCAGGGATATTGGTTGTGCCACAGTTTTACTCAACTGTTGAAGTCAGACACACTTGAGTGATGTGCTTATGGGGTGGTTGTCAAGAGTCCTTGCCCTCAAGCTTATATAGTACCTGCAGTTGTGTGAATGCAATTCTCCAAGAGGAGGTGCCTTTCTGTATTATTGCACTTTTACAACACTGCTGTTGAACAGCTTCAGCAAATGGTAAAGTTGGAAGGCTTTATTTTTCAGTACTTGGGTTTCTAACTGTAACTTTTTTAAAAGGTGGGAAAGAGGGTATTTTCTATCATTAGTGCACAATTGGTCTTACTGGTCTCTTTTGGACTGATCCATATTTTAAGCACTGCACTAAAATTAGAGCTCTTAGTTGGCCTGCTAAATGAGAGATGGAAACTGTTAGTAGAAAAAGAATTTCTGAAATACCATGCTCTTAGCTTGCAAGCTCAAGTGCCAGCATAATGGTGCTTGAGAGCTGAGATTAAGCTCAGAATTTCCTGCCCAGTGTTGCTGATTTTCCAACTGTGTTGGTTAGTCAGCAATAGAGAAACCAAAGTCTTTGGATGCAAAGCTTGCAACAGATGTGATCCAGTTTGGTCTGCGATGAATCAGTTCGTCATTCTGATTTGCGATGGCTCACCACTTCTCAGAAATCATCACAGCTCTCATACAACAGGACAAGGGCAAATCATGAAGGGGACCAGTGTGAGCTGTAGCCTGGGGATACTGGTGTCTGCTACCCTCAAACTTTCTGCTGTGTTTTCTCCTTCCTGATGGCTAATTTTTACTACTGTGCTTCAGATTATGAAAGAGTGCTATGTAGCTATAGCAGAAAAAGACAAAACCAGTCTGAGGTATTGCTTTTTAAACAATAGGAAAATGAAAAGAAAAAAACAGTCCAGTGCAGCTTGTGTAACAGAGAGCAACATAAAGTGAAAAGAAAAATACATTTTCATGGTGGCTAAACAATTTCTGTTCCTTGTTTTGAAGAGGCTTTAGATGTGTGGTGTTCTTTCCTGATCTGGCTATTGATTTCCACCACTGTGGCAGTCTGCAGTCTTTCAAGGGTGCTGTGGCAAACAGGGTTGGTCTTGTCATGGCTGCATGAAAGGTTTCACATAAAGATCTGGGAAAGGCTTCTTTTCACAGAAGTAAGGTAATTCTAGTCTCTTTATTGATGGGATGTGGTTAATCTGTAAGACAGAACTTTTCCCCTCTCCAGGATGCTCAGTGAGCTCGGGAGCTGAAACGTGCTCCTTTCCTCAAGCAGCTGCAGCTCCTGGTTCCGTGCCGTCACTCCATGCGCCTCCTGCGTGGCTTTGCTTTGCCATCCTTGCCGCTTGGGCTGCTGACCTCTGCTTTGAAGGCATTACGTGCATTTCAGAAAAGTTGGCTTGTTGAAAAGGAACAACTGGTAATTAACACAGTCTGGTGGTTTTGCCTGTCTGGGGGGGGGGAAGTGATAATTTTCTGTCCAGAAGCTATAATCACATCACAGACTTGCTGATAGCACAGAAGGATCCTGAGAAGTGAATGGTCACAAATGTGGGTCTTCTCTTACTTTTCAGCTCCTACTGAGTGAACTGCTTCAGTGTGTAGCTTGTATTGCTGCTGCTGGTTATTTTCATTAGCTTTAGGAAAAGCAATGCTAATGTTTTCAGTAGCACAAACTACTGTAGATACTGTGGACTTTGTAACTTGATTCAAGGACACTTTTTCATTAGGCAAGAGTGGGCGGATAATATTTCTGTTGAAAAATAGCACAACTAAGAGCAAGGCAGGAAACATAATTGCAGGAAGCGGGTTCTGTATTACAGCCTTCTGCTCTGTATGTTCTGAGGCTTTTTATTGGAGACCAAAGATGGGATCTTCTCGTTGGATCAGACCAGTTGCTCACTGATGACTTAAGTTTAGTAGTTTGTGGTCACATCACAATGAGATGAATGGCATTTTCACATGCCAGGTATTTATTTTCAGATTAAATTGGGACTTCACCAAGTCTATATGTCCGTGGTTTGAAAATATAGCTGTGTTTGATTTACCAACGTCCCATATTCGCACACACAATTCTGAATGAAATCTCAAACGCTGAAAAATTTAAGTGGATTTTTCTATATAGTTACATGTCTGTCTCCTCTTTACCCCAGGACCAAGTTAGAGTATTAAAGCATGTATAGAAGAATGCATGCTGACTAAGATAGGATGTGAAATAAAAAATAGAAGTGTCATGCACTAAATGTTCTGTTTTGCATGGAAGCTGATTCTTCACGGTGCCTTTGTGGCTTGGGGTTTTTCTTGTTTGTTTTTGCTTTTGTAACCTAATCTGTACAATGGCAATTGTAGGAAAAAAAAGCCCTAGTTTCATTTTAAATTCTAAACAACTATAATTAAGGTTCTGGTACTGTCAATTAATATTAGTACCATGTTTTATTTCTAACTGTCACATGGCTGGCTGTGACACGTCTCCTAATGTTGCCCCTTCCTGCTCCCTGTACAGCATTTCTTCCTGTCTGAGAAAGTGGCACAGCTCAGTCACAGACTTTGGAGCTGATGAGCTCTCCCTCTCACTCCAATATGTCCTCCGGGTGCTGGTCTAGTTCTGTGATGGTCCCTTCTAAAGCCTTCCCAGATTGCTGGTAGTCTAGTTCTGTAAAGCTGACTTCTCCAAAATAAGCGTTATTCTTACCATATTATTGTTGTGGAGTTGATGCCTTTTCCTGACACAGAAACGCCTCCTCTTTATAAACGCAGTTGTGCATTGAGACCAGTAAGTGTTCCATTCTGCTACCTCTGGTGTGTCAGGCTCATCCTTCCTGGTGCCTGTGTTCTCCTATAACTGTTAGCGATGTTGATTGTTTCCTGCTGTTTATCTCTGTAATGTTAAGTACAGCCGAAAAGCAAATTCTTCATGTTAAAACAGCTGAGCCATTTTAGAGATGAGAAATGTTTGTCCTTCTCTGGCTGACAGAAAAGATGAAAAAGATTCAGTAAGTCACTGATACTAGCAGGACTTGTAAGCTTTAAAATGCTTTGTGAAATGAGAATACCAAGGGGAGAGCTTTAAATTTACTGTTGTAACTCTATGAAGCCCTCATTTGGTCATCACCACTGCAGACCTTGATGTGAATCACTTTTTTTTATCCATGTAAAAGCCTTTTCCCCTCTAAGCTTAACAGTCCAGTTGAGTATGTGTGTACTCACCATACTTGACACAGCAGAATGTGGCAGGCTGGTACCATGTTAATCAGATTCTCCTTGTGATGCTCCCTGTCTGAAGAAACTATTTTCCATTAAAAAGAACACTTTTACCATCCGTGGATGCTGCCATGGTGATAAGAGCATGGTCCTGATAAAGCTTTAAGGTAGGGTGGCTGCTTACAGCTGGTGTCTTATGCATACAGGTGAGATTTTTTGTAACCTTCCTTGAAATTTGGCATTTATCAGCAGGAGTTAAATATTCATCTCTGCTCATCCTAACATCTTGTTCACAAACCTTCCAGTTAAACACCATGACACTGAAAAATGTACATTAGGAAAAAGTACAGTAACAATAACCTCCTGCCTGGTATTTGTACAGCTGAGTAAGAGTTCACCAGTATCTCAGTCTACATCTTACCTGTTATCTGTGCTTATTAGGGACATTATTCATCTGTAGACCGTACCCCTTGTTTCTGCTTTTCCATTTCTTGTATTTTTTTTCTTTTCTTTTTTTCTTGTGTTTCCTTTCTTTCTCACTCTTATGCTTTTTGTCCTTTGCTTGTCTTTTATTTCACCCCTTTCCTCCTCCTCCGTTCCACTTCCAACTTCCTCTTCCTCTCCTGCCTCTTCCTCTTCCTCGTTTGGTCCTATTGAAGTTGAGCCCAATGCCGGGACACCACGTCGTAGACCTCTCTCCTTCTGCCCTTGCTGTGCCCACGAAGGTAACGTAACCTCACACGCTCCCTGTTCTCCTTGACCACAGCTGGGTTGTTGTAGCAACACTAGTCAGCTAGTTAAGACAAGGCCCCCAGCCCCATCCCCAGCCCTTTTCTTACTTTGTCCCCAAACCAACCTCTCAGCAGCAACCTGGTAACCAACTTCTCTGAGCCTGTGGCAAGTTATTAGAAGTACAGTATCCCTTTTCGTAGTCCCAGCTGTGCTAGGGAAGGCGTAGCATCTGGGATGGACATTGGGCAGCAGCAGGGGGAGCAGTAATGTCACATTCAACAGTTATTGTTTTCATTTGGTGGCTTCAGTTTCTCTGTTCCTCATGATAGATATTTGGAAGGTGGCGTAAGGGAAGAAAATCTCCTTCCTTAAATGGCCTTTTAATTATCATATATGGATTAAAGGAATACTGTGTCTTTATAAGGACTGATTTGCAAAAACATCCTGGAACTTTAAAAGCCAACAAACCTTAAGCTAGACCAGTTTAACCTCATCTGCCTCAATGAGCGCGCTCTTTTAACAGTCCCAAATGAAGTATGCCATAGTTTCCATTGCCAAGGCATGGGGAAAGGGGTTGTTTATGTGTGTCCATGGTGTAATTTTGCTAACCACTTACTCTGCTTTCCATGGTGCTCCCTCACATCAGTTGTCAGTGCTCCCTCTCCAGTCCTTCCATTATTCTTCTGCTCATTGGCTGTTTAAAAATACTTATGTATTTCATAGGTCAGTAGCGTTGTGTTTTTTGGCTTTTTCTTAAAAGCATTTGTTTTCTGTACACCCTGGCATTGGAAGGGATGGGGAGACTTCCCAGTGTTTTCATGGCACCACAGCACTGGACATCTGCATGTACAGTCTCCCTCTCCTGTTGCCATACGGGCATATTGTGCAGAGATGCTCAGAAAGGAATGCTTGGAACTGAGCAACACACTGGTGTAAAGTCTGCAGAGCCAGAGGCTCTTAGGATGGTACAAACGGGGCTGGTATTTTCCAAGGTTCTGCTATTAGGAATTTTCAAAGGCAGGTATTCTCAACTGAAGCTGCAGTTTAATAGGAGTTGTAGGCTCTACTTTGTTTAGCTCCAGTGCAGCACTGCTGTGAGATCCTAAGGATGGAGACAGGACACAGAGCCCTGAATTAAGTAGCCATGAATGTGGTATTTGTGAAGTGTTTCCCAGAGTTTGAACAGTAAGCTTGCTGCTTGATTATTTTTAGCATCAAAATGACTATTTGAGACTTTTGCTCTTCGTGTAGGTAGTATGTATCCATAGTAACAAACTTAGATGAGGATGTTGGTTACTTTTAGGATGCCTCAGTTGCATGCAGTGCAAACGGATAGGATGTAGCAACCCAAAAAGACTTTAGAGCTTGATTTGAGGCCTTGCTTCTGCCTCCAATTCATGCAGGCAGGCTCATTGCTACTGTCTTTGATGGTGTCTGATAGAAGTCATAGCATTGATCTGCTGGTAGTTCAGTGTGGAATCAGTGGCCTAGCCCAGGAGATTGCTAAAAGGAGCTTCCTTGGTAAGCTCTTGTATTTGATAAATATCAACTGAAGGCTTTGGGAACAGCATTCTGCAATTTATTCTACGTAACTCCTGACACATGTGAGATTCATCAGTGGACTACTGAGTAAGTTTAAGAGTTGGTTTGAAATAAGCAAAATGCCAACTAAGAGTTCTGTACTAGGTGGCCAAGGCTTAAGGTATTTTTATGATGCTTTGATACTAGCCAATGTGCTTGAGGATTCTTTTCTTTCCAGTGCTGATGTGCAGTAAAGTAGAAGTAGTTTCTGTGTTCACTGTGCAGAGGGGATCTTCAAGATGGATAGATATATATGGCTAGGAGGAACAGTCAGAAGAGATTTCTTTAGCTATCAAAAAAAAGACAAGATATTACTTTTGGCCAGTAAAATAAAACATTGAGGATGTGCAATTGAAAATAAAGGTAAAAGACATGGACTGGCAATTGAGTCTATTTCTGATGAGCATACATTTAAGTAGCTGGCATGAGGATCTATAAAGCTCTTCTTAATGAAAGGAAGAGTGAAATACTTCCATAAATCTGGGATTTCTGCTTTAAAAGTGAGGAAGAAACAAGCAATCACAAGAAAAATCAGAAAACAAACAAAATTCTTTTAAAAATCAGGCTCCAAAGAGAAGATAATCCTTTTGGAGATGACTTCCACTCTTCTGTGTGCTGTAGGCAAACTGAATGGACCCGGCTTGGGAGTGCTCTGGCAGCATCTTGCTCGGCTTTCTTTGCACATTTTGCCCCTTTGTTGTTTTTGCAGTTTGGGCTTGTAAGGATTGCAGGGCGTTACCTGAAAACTTACCAGGTTTCTTTTTTGGCAGGCATGGGTAAGAAGGATGATCCCAAGCTGATGCAGGAATGGTTCAAGCTGGTGCAGGAGAAGAATGCCTTGGTTCGCTACGAGTCTGAACTGATGATATTGTGAGTGAATGTACAAAGCATCAAGAGGGGGAACTATGTTACAAATAGTATTGGAAGATGTGTTAGTACCGTTCCCTGAGAGGTCCAGAGGCTCTTAAGCTGATTCTTGGCTGAGATGTAAATCCAGGTGCATTTCAGAAGAGTGATAAAAGAAGGAATAATGCCAATAAGGAATGAAAGCTTCAATTATTCATGCACAAGCAGAAGTACGGATGCATCTTAAAAATTCTGAGCCCTTCCTGAGCTGTTCTTGGATAAAAGACGATGTTGTTCATGCACATGTTTTGAGCTATGCAGAAATAGTGTGTGACAACTCCCTGTTTTAGTAGAATCTGCTTTTAAGTGTAGCCAAAAGTGTTTAATTCAGTCACCTGTGCCATGTGGCCCTCTTCTCTGCCTGTACTGGAACACTAGTGCCTCTCATTTGGGCTCGGATGGTAAGGCTTTTTTCCAGTTAAAAAAATGTGGAGCTTTCTCAGTCCTCATGCTGCAAGTTCACCAAAATTAATTTTTCAGTGTGTTAGCTGACCTAGGCAGTGTGGAAAATCTTTTTAAATCTTTAAAAAATATAGTTAAAAATCTTGGGGGTTTTTGAGTGGTTGCAAAACAGGTTGGTAAAACATGTAGCACTTACCTAGAGGGGGAACAGAAACTCAGAATAGGTATAAAGCAATATATGGAGTATTTTAATACAGGCAGAACTTGGATTCCTGATGTTTCCCTTTCAGCGCTCGAGAGCTAGAACTGGAAGACAGACAGAGTCGATTACAGCAGGAGCTCCGGGAGAGGATGGCAGTAGAAGGTGAGAGCAAAAGGGAACATTTCATAGATTGCATGTGAGTATTTCTAGCCTTGTGTATGCTGACATTTTTTGTTATCTCTGTAGATAATCTGAAGACAGATGAGGAGCTCTCAGAGGAGAAGAGGATCCTGAATGAGATGCTAGAAGTAGTAGAGCAGAGAGATTCTCTTGTGGCTCTCCTTGAGGAGCAACGGGTTCGAGAAAAAGAAGAAGACAAGGACCTGGAGGCAGTCATGCTTTCCAAAGGTTTCAGCTTGAACTGGTCTTGAGCTTAATGCATTTACCTCTGCTGGTCTGTGTTGTCCATTTGGCCAACCCTGAGTTCGCCAGAATTGCATGGATAGGAAGATGTTGAAGGGGAAACCTCCAAGGGGTCCAACAGCATGCAAAGGTTTGGTTTGAAGCACTCAGAGGCCTCTGATAAGTGTGTTGGTTCCAGAAGCTTAAGTTTTACATGTCTGCAAGCCAAGTTGAAGATAATGAGTTGAGACTGTGGAGTCTCCTTGAGGTCCTATGGAATGGACCATATTTTTTTTATGTGGTAGGAGGGAGAGGAATAATCCATGTGTGGGGAAGGAGGTTAAGGGAAGAAGTACCCTTAACTAAACTGGATTTCTGGCAGTCCATTCCTTTCCCATTTTTACGACACCAGTTCTAATAAAAGGGAGGAAAGTGGCAACCCTCTCTGGAAAATCACAGCAGCTTGTAGCAGCCTGTATGGTGGAGTCAGCTGTCCAAGAGAGCCCCAGAAGCCCAGGGCAACACCTTCTTTGCTTTAGTCTTCCTCCTCACCAAAGAAACTTGCAGTTGATAATTATGCATGGTTATGAAGAAATACCAGACAGAGAAGATGCTACTAGTATGTGTGATGGAACTCTTTGCCTCCTGGGTTTTAAGAGATTTGGGCATCAGAGGACTCTCCCTATCATACGTAGCCTCCTAAATCATCATCATCTTGTGGGGAAAAGGGGGAGGAGAAGAGAAAGGGAAGATGCCCTTCTGCTTTGCTACACACTGGAGAGACAGCTACTGCTGGCCTTAGTCTTCATGGCCACAGCTCAGAGGCTGGTGGGTTTCTTTGTTCTGTTTTTGTTGTGACTGTTTCAACACTGGAAAATACTGACTGTGGGACAGTGGTAAGTGTGTGCTGGGGCAGGGGTGTTACCAAGCAGCATTCCCTGGCTGTTAGGCCCCCAAAAGGGAGAAGCCCTTAAGTGACCGAACCACCATTAAGACTTTTCAGTGGTTTTATTTTTTTTTTCCTCTGTATTTTGTTTTTGCACATTGGAAAGAAAGCTTAAGACCTGCCTGGGCCCTCAGTCACTTTGACCCTTTTATGTCAATTAACTTATTTTTTTTGATACTTGAAAGAAGATTCATTTTTGTATCTTTTAGGAAAAAAATGGACAAGTGACGGGTGTGTGTGCCTGCTGCATCCTACAACTTCCACTTCTAAATTACTGGATGTTGTTACCTGTGGCTATTTATTAGTGTTCTTATTAATAATTTGATTGTTACATATATTTGATTGTGAAGGGAGTGTTTTAACTCTGTTAGAGAAAGACACTACTGTGGATTGGTCTCTCCTTCACAGCAAGGGCAGCCTTTATGGACCCATGGATGCATCCTGCCCTAGAAGTTTTCCTTTATGACAAAATCCTGCGCACTCATGGAGTTGTAATAATCTATTTGTGTTCCTAGCATATTTTTCTTCTGCATCCCAGATTTCCACTGTTGGACTAATAAACCTGTAACTTATTTAAATTTTACATTTTTATAACAAGAAATCCAAAACTGTGAGGTGGAAATATCCTGTATGTGTGTCTCTCACTGAAAGAGGAGACCCTCACACTCCTGAGACACAGCTAGAGGGACTTCTATGAAAACAAAAATAGCACATATCCTGCTGCATCTGCTGGAAGAAGCTCCTTTTGGCTCAGCTAGTGAAGCTGCTTCTTTTCAGCCAGGAGGGCTCATGGTAGTCATACGTTAAGGGCAGGACATGCACTGAGCAGTTCAGTACCATTCCCTGTTTGACAGATTCCCTGGGTGCACCAGGTCCCTAATTTGTCCCACAGAGCTGGAATACCACTCTGCATTGAGTATGTGTCCCATCCTTAACGTGATGTGTTGAGTTTTTTCCACCCATGGGATGCTATGTTCTTTTCTTGTTTAAGAAGTACTAAGCCTGCTCCCCAATGTCCTTGATAAAGTGACCCATTCCCAAGCATATTCGTACAGCATGCTGATTCTTTTAGCCCAAATTTATGCTGTTGGTGCAAGGTACCCATGCAGGGCTGAACATATTTTCATCTTTTGCCTCGGGACAGAAATTAGCATGGTTTCTTGCTGTTGGCTATCTGCCTTCTTCAAGGAGGTCTTCTGTAAGCCAGGGTCTACAATTTAAATTCACCTCTGACTTAGGAGCATACCTCAGGCTGAGGAAGAGTGGGTAGGACTGTCCCCAGAATTGAGTGCTGCTGGTTGTTAACTGTTGTAATATTTTTTCTACTTCATGTGTTCCCCCTGTATCCCTCCTAGTGTTTTTTGATAATGCATTACAAATTAAATCCAGATGCTCATGAAACTAAGCAGGCAGGCAGGCACAGTGCTACTTTGTACCTGTGAATGTTAGCAAGTGGTACCAGCTATACCAGCATCACAGAGCGCTGGCTTACCAGCTGTCCAACAAACAGAATTCCCCTCATTTGCCAGTGTAGGGGCCAGCTGCACAAGTAAAATTAGCATTGGTAGTTTACATAGTCTGCAATCGAGGGGCTGGAGGGGAGAAGGGAAGAAAGAGGGAAGCTAGATACAGTTAGTTGTAAACTTGCCTTGCACAGAGAATTGGCCTCAGTCCATTTTATACTGCAGTAGGTATATAGACAACATCTATCTTGTAACAAAAGATCATCGAATTTGAGCTGTAGAACAAAAAGGAATCCTGAAGAAGAAACACCAGATTACTACTTTTCCCTTTCATGCTGGGGAACACTAGCCAGACCTTTGCAATGCCAAAGAGTGGTACCACCTGAGGGTGTAATGCCCTATGGCACAGGAGAACTGCAAACTCGGAAACTGAGCTCTTTTTCAGTTATGCAGAAAGCTTCCAGCAGTGAGAATGAAAACGAAGAGCTAACATCGCACACATTAATTAAAAATGCACAAAGGGTATGTTAAAAAGGCCTTTTTATATCAAAATGGTTGAAAAAGGCACAACTTGTATTTGCTGTTCAGCTGCACTTTAAGAATATGACTTGCATATCAGATACTGGGGTTTTTTACTATCGGAATATTTTTAATTCAAATTTTGTATTTTTAAAGCTGAAGAAGGCTCTTGTGACCACAAGATTCCTTATTTGTATCAGAATCCAAGTAGGATGTTCTAGCTCTTTGTGCTGCCCATGCGGGCAGCAGCGCATGATGCAGCTGTGTGCATTCAGTGGCCTGTGTCCATTTCACACGAGGGGAGGGAAAATGCCCTCAGCTTCCAAGATGTGGGCTGGTGAGGGTGTCTGTCCCAGTGTGTCCATAGAGCAGCTGGCCACTTCCTCCCTGCCGTGAGTAGAAGGAGGGCCAACCTTGGAACCTGACCTGTGTTCATTTTGAAATGGGCACACTGAGGATGGATGGGGCAAGCATTTCAGTCCTCTCCAGGGAAGGAAAGGGGATACCACCTCCTGGTGGTGTCTCATTTACCTGAGAGGCAAATGGGGATGGGGGAGTGAGGACTGCCAAAACAACCTATCTGCTGTTTTCACAGTACAATTTTTTTTTTTTAACTGTTTTGTTCCTTTTAACCACGTTTTCATTAAAACTCACAAATGGCTGTAAAATCCCAAGCTTTGAAGAACTATTGTGTGGGGAGGTGACAAGACATTTCAGCTCTAACTTCCAGACATACTCCTTTCAGTTAACCAATACCCCAAGGTCTCGACGCTAGGGCATGTTACAAACTGCGTTGCTGAACATATTTTAGAGCAAACTGCAAGTTTTAAAAGTCTGTCCTTCTCTCTGTCTGTCTCTGCATTTCATGTAAATATTTGTTTGTATGTAAAGACACCAGTGGATCCTTGGGGGTTACCCCCATGGTCAAGCATCTGAGTTTTGTGCAATGCCTAGGCCTCTCTTAGATCATGGTGCTTGCATAGAGCTAGTCACCACATTTGTGTGCACTGTGGTGGTTTTTAATATTTTTATACATCCTAATCCTGAACATTATGAAGTATTATAACTGGTCTAGACTGCATGATCTAGAGCAGCCAGCAGTTCCATTTTCCTTAGCAGCTGTTCCTAAAATGTTCACAGCTACACTTTGTTTGATTAACATTCTTTTAAAATGACTTTTCAGTTAAGTGTTTACACCAGACACCAGTGGATGAGAAAGGTGTTGCATTGTAAAGACTCCTGCTTACAAATTGAAAAGCCATGACATGGCTTTATGGGAATTTCAGTCACCATTGTCTGCAACAAAGAGAACTCTAAAGTATACTAAAAACCAGCCTGTATATAGTTCACAAAGAAAGAGATTGCTGGCTCTCAACCATTGCAAAATAACAGAGATCAGAAGCTGTCCAAAAGTTCCTGCTTTTGGATTGCTCAGAGTACTGCTATAGGCAGGGTAGCCAGACAGGTGAGGATGTCACTGAAAGCAGATGTGAAGGGGAGGATGCCATGTTATGATGGCATTGCAGTAATTTAAATACTCGGTATCTGTGCGTGCATGCGTTGTGTGTGTGTGAAGTCTAATCCAGGTGAAGGGATCTGCTTTGGCATCTTCCCTTTTGTATGAAAATGAACTCTGATATTCAGATTGTTCAAGGCTTTTATGGTTGACATGTATGGAGTGTTAACGAAAAGCATATACCCTACCTGTAAAAAAAACAACTCTGTTCCAGCCTGTTTTCTTCTGTTTGGTTGTGTTTAATCGTTTGTTTTTATGCACACTTGCTTCATTGGTGTTGAGATTTTAGCACCTCAGATGGCCAACTGAACTAAAAAAAAAAAAACAACAAAAAAAATAAAGTCATTAATTATTTTTTCCTTTTGTTGGTGGAGTTACCGTTTGTTTTCTGCGCATTCATTCCCATGGTTGATGATTAAAGAGGAAGCCAGGAGCTGAGGGAAGGTGATCTTAAGATGAGATGAAAAGGTAGGTGCTAAAGGGCCTGACTTTAGTTTTTCTTTTGCTGGGAACACTCAGAGCCCATCTGAATTATGAGATGCAAACAAATCGAATCCCAATACATGGTCTTCCTTTCTCCATATTTTACATTGTTTCTTTAGATTCTCTGCAAAGAGAAATTATAATAAATAGCCAAGAAGGTGTGAAGGTAATGTAAATTGAATGGCAGGAACCAGGAGTTTGGTTCTGTGGCTCATTTCCTTAGCCTTCAGTGCTAGCATGAACATCTGGTGCTGGTATAGCAGCATATAGTAAAATGAGTGAATGCCATCAGCACCTCTGTGGCGACTTCTGTGTTGTTTTGAGCCTCCACCACTCTGTTCACGTCTCACCTGCACTGTGAGCTTCAAGGAATCTGCATTCCTTGAACAGACTGGAATCATTCAGGGATTCAACCCTCAGTAGCTCATCTGTCAAGAAAAGGCATCTTGTCTTGGTCTCTTCTGTTTGAAAAGGGCAGATGTTCAGCCTAAGTGGTGGGTGCTGGGCCTAGTAAACATCAGGAGCGAAAGCCTGGAGGAACAACATCCAGACTGCAGCACTGCTGTTTTTAAGTAAACAGTGAGAGAAATCAATTATTTTGTGTCTCTCTTTCAACTGACAGAAAACACACAGGATGTTGTGGGAAATCCCAGCTGGGGAAATCCCAAGCAATTAA